TAGGGGGGGGCAGATGTTTACACACCCATGAATATGGATTTATCAACTTGAAGGGACTGTTGAACAGAAGCGGGAGGTTTTTACACACCGCTTAGTCATGGCATTTAACCAAACACTGTAACTTTTTAAGACTATATAATGCAGCTTAAAGTTACTCTTCGCTGTCATGACTGCTACTGTCACTTGTAGGGGTCTTAAATAATTTCTGATCGGACATGTGTTGATTGTAGAGATAAGTAGACCACAAAGAGTCAGATCGATTAAAATCACAGCTCAGAAGACCGCGGGCGAGCGACATAGAGCCCTGTCCCTAGCAGCCTTCCATCGACAGGATAAGAAGAACGACTGCTCATTATTATAGGTTTCAGTGATGATGAAAAAAATGACGAGCTTCTAAATCCATCAATTTACCGCATTCAGAGAACGAAATGAAAATCAAACCCTCAAGGTGATTCCATTGATCAGTCCATTAGAGTGTTATTTCCTCTGTTTCACTTGTACAGACAATGAGATACGGTTTAGGTAGGGTCTGTTGGTCTGGGACGGTCACTTTACTGGCGTTTCCATGACTTTGCTAAGGACGGGAGGGGGGGGGTTTGGGGGGGGGAGGGGAAGGAGGAGGGGGCACAAATACAAAATAGTAGATGAGGATATTTTTAATACAATATGTATACTATAGGGATGAAAAAAAAACTGTTCGATTTACTGTTTTCAAGGGGAGAGGGGAGGTAGTTAAGGGTAAAGGCGGCTCAGATGCCCACTAGCGGATTGATTCAGTTTATGATGTGATTATAACGTATAAAAATAAACTCCCTTTTGTGTCGACATTTATTGAAAATTTGGCTTAATTTCAAGCAGTCTTTTCGTTCCTTTGGAGAGTGGAAAAGGGAGGGAGATTGAAATAAAAATCATATTTGAATTTAGTTCCATTTTGAGGAGTTATGTTTGGTGTCTGGGGATTTCGAAAAAGCTTTAATTTTTTCCAGAAAAAAAGGGGTGGTGGTGGTGCTTTTCAAGCCCTAAAATGGAATTCTGAATTGCTAAATTTATAAAAAGAAATTAGATGATTTTAGTAACCGTTCACTGCTGGAGCAAGGACATGGAAAAGGAGGGACTAAAATGTTGTTCCCATTTTGCCAAGAATAACATTTTGAAAATAAGATACAGATTTGGACTTATCACAATGTCTTTTTCTGCCTCAGACCATGGCATCGATTTTGCGACAGATAAGAGAACGGTTTTAGCTCATTCTCACAATGGCTGTTCTCCAAACAGTCGTACGTCTGGTGTAACAGAGCCTTCACTTAAGATACAAAGTGCTTTAACCCTTCATCAAGCTCAACCTTGTGATCAATGACCCTTGACGAAGGGTAAAAACATCATTTCCTTATAATATGTAAAAAAACAAGTTTTGTTGTTTTAGAAACGATTTATTTTTCTATCATCACTACACAAGACACAATGAAAAAATCTATTTCAACGAGAATGTAATGGCGTCATGGTGGATTGCTTCTATGTCGTATGTCATACACACAGATGCTTAAAATAAAAGCAGTTTAAGATCGTTGACATCGTATTGAATAGAGGTTAGAAAAAATGGTGTTTCAAATTACGGTAGTACAGAAGCACGTAATCGTATTACATATATAAGATGGTGTATGGCGTTCAGAGCATTGACTGGCACGCAAGCGTTTTCAAATGGAATGGATGAAATGACCCCAACTTATTATAGTGTGTTCAGTCAGGTCGAACCAGCGGCAACTTGGATTTCCAAAAAGATTACTTCTCTGTGAACCTTTACTTTGGTATTTTCACCCCGTCCTGTTTATAAGGCAAGCTCGGATTAAAGTAACGTAAACTGGTTTTATCCAGCTAATAAGGGGTTACTGGCAGTAGTTGAACTTTACGTAACATATTTTTTTTGTCGTCCTAAAGGTTACTGATGCGCTGCACCATATAAAAAGGCTCGATATCCCGGGGGTTCAGTTAGCTAAAAAGGTAAAAGCGTCTACTACAATTCATTTCTTGCCTCGTCGCCCGCCTTTGAAAGTTACAGGGGCATTTTTAAGAATTCGATTACCTCCAGCTAGAGCGAAACTCGGGGCGCGGTCCGAGCAAAGAAATAAGATTCAATTGTCAGGCTGATCCGCAGGTGGCACCGCAGGAACTTAGGGTAAGAGTGAATTCTAGAATAAAGTGAAGACATACAGTTTGTTGCACTGGGCCTTAGTAGTGCTGGTTTGGTCTAGTGAATTAGTAGATGTTTTTCTGAGAAGCCAGAAAAGTCACACAAGGCAAGGCAATGAAAACATCGCTGCGCTGGCACTTGAGCAGCTTCCATATTGACCCTGTCTTGCTCTTTGTGAGTTAATATTATTTCGATTTTCAGCAGTCTAGTGAAATAATATAAAGCAGGTTAAGAAGGCTATTTCACAAAAAAATCCTAATTCAGTTTTACTGGTTCGTTTTTTCATACGGTGATCACTCACAAAATTCAAACATCTTTATCTATTTATCTATTTGTAAAATGCATTAATTGATGAATTATACATTTATTCATATAAGCAAAAGAATTTTTTGTTTCAAAGTTTTGGACAATAATTTTCAAACTTTACTAAAAAAAACAGGATTGGAGGTGGGAATAACTGAGAACTTTTGTTCGATTTTTTAAAGTATTTACGGTAGATAAAGACAGGGAAAATGACTTGCGAAAAAAAAGTGACTCATTTTCTAACCTTAGCTCTTTATTTCACCGGTGTGTGATAAGAATGGTAGTCCTATGGATGTCAATAGTCCTATTTAATAAGTACTGGTGAGGGCTAGTCAGAGTATTAGGGTTAGTATATGGGACACATGTCACCTGTGCAAACGGACTACGATTCTTGTCACACCGGGACACCGGGACTTCACTTCATGAAGAGGTCCGACACACCGGCCCCACGCACACGAAGGTTTGCGAGCTGAGCTAACGGCAACGTGAACCTAATAGCTCAGCACTTCGCCCTCGTTATTAAGTGATTTGTTTTCCTGCATGTGGCCGACAACTAAATTGACTGTAAAGAGCTTATTACACTCGTCGCGAGCACCAAGTGTACGCTATTTGAATGTGTGCGCAAGTGGTTTCTCAATGATGTAAATATAGGTTTTTCTCATGGCATTGGGGGAAATACAAAACAAACAAACCGATGCATATCATACATAGTAAGCACCTTTTTTTACCAAATAATATTCTACATTTTCAGATAAGAAGTGGGCCATAAATTACTGTCTTCCAAAGGAAAACCCGAGTATGGCAGGTGTAAATACGGCAAAAGCGCTCACGCCCAATGAAGCGAGGATCGGCCTGCTGATACAATTAGCCATATGGTGCTTTGTCGGAGGTGCGGTCGGCCTTGTGGCGTATGGCCCGCTCTTCACCGACGATCACGCCATCAGAGATTCGGTCAAGGATATATTCGGCCATCCAGATATTGAGAGAGCGATCACAACTGCGCAATCCCTTCTTATTGCAACCTATGTCATAGGTTTCCTCCCATTGGTGGCCGTGTTGATTGCCTGTGTTCTGTTGGTTCTAATTTGCCGACAAAAGAGGGCACTTCGCACGCAGATTCTCTTTGGGATTCTTCTTGTATCAGCCTTGACGCTCTTTATATGCGGAGTGGCAGTTCTTGCCATAGCGGACCAAGGGCGTAAAAACTGGAGCGCAGACTCTGATCAAACTTTCAGAGTATTGAAAAGTGACATTTTGACCAAATATGGCATGTCAGAAACGCACGAGAAGTTAACAGACGGATTGGACAGAATTCAAACGCAGTACAAATGTTGCGGCGTTGATAATGTCACTGATTTTTGGGAAAGCCAGTGGAAGGCAAAATTTGGACAAAGTGCCCCTGAAAGCTGTTGTAATTTAGAAACGGACGAAAGCAACACTACAGCTTTGGAAAAGTGCAAACAGGAAGCGGAATATCTCCACGCCAGGATTGAGACAAATATCACTGTCCTGCAGGTTGAAGGTTGCCGAGATGCCATCAAAACCTTCATAGAAGGCCAGGTCTTTCACACCTTAATTCTATCGGGAGGTGTTGCTTCTTTCTTGGCCTTCGTCGTTATTGCTCTGGTCATTGCAATTATTGTGTTATCTGTGGTGGATATGAGGAAGACAAAGAAGAAGGTAACTTTACAGGAAGTGGATTCAAAAGCTCAAGCGCAGGCGCTGCTTTGACGTCATAACATGTGACCTGCTCCAACTGTACTATTTAGATTATCTGAAAACCATATGCCATTACAGAGATGTTGAAACATCGTTCTGTCGTTGCCGATTGTGATTTAAAGAACATTCCATTGAGGAAGGCTCAATTATACGTGAATTTGCAAATAATCTAGATTAAAAAGTTCTGAATTAGATTTTATCATCAGTGAGAAAGGCAGTCATGCTTTCTACAAGTACAACTATATTGCTTAGCGTATCATATTGCAGAATCTTGTACAAGAATATTGCTGAGCCTTTCATATTGAATGGTCTTGTAGACGTATATTGCTAAGCGCTTCATATTGACTGATGTAGTACAATTGTATTGCTATTTTAACGTTATTATACTGACCGATCTTGAAAGGCATCCCATAACGTTTACAACTAACGTATTTCTAAGTATAAAGTATATGACTTCTTATCGTGATTGCTTTTACCCATGGGCACCGTGTGGCATTCCTATTGCAGTCTGCAATTACATTATAAGCGGTATTATAAAAATCTCTGTATAAAAAAGCGCTCTTGCCAAGAGGAGCAATTGTTAATGGGGGTATATTGTGGCATTAAGAATGACTGAGCTCTTTGTGAACCTAAGAGGACAACGCTGTTTTGTTAGAAGTTGGTGTACATACCTGTAAATTTGTAATCTGCTCTTCCAAAAAGACCCGAGACATAATTAAGTCACGCGATGCATTGAAGTTTAAACTGTTTACAATACGCTGTTAATCAAAAGGTTTGTAAGACAGCCGTATTCATGTGTTATGTTTACACATGATTGCATTGCAGTTTTAAATTAGTATTTTTTATTATCGATGGCACATGTAACATGACTTATGGTATAGAATAACAAAATACCGGTGTAGATATCCATTTCTTTATTATTTATTCAAAATTAGAATTCTAACCGTGATTTCGAAAGAAGCAAAATGTCCAAAAATTGAAATGACACCTTTAAATGTCACCACATTTAGACCCAATCAGCATCTCAAGGTGCTCTTTAAATGCCACGTGTCTAATAGCGTGTGCCTACCTCGTACTATCTCCTACAGGCGGCGCGGTAAGCTTTTAACAGGGGTCACGAATCTGTCTTGTGGGATATTATTCTATTCTTCCTGGAGATTTTGACAGAGTGTGTCCAAATTATGGGGGGGGGGGGGGGGGTTGGTTGATACTCCGTGCACCGCGCACTGCAATTAAACCAACCAGAGCACAAAAGTGTAAGAGTTTAAAGACGGTTGTTCCATATCCTCAGAACATTGCATGCGCCTCCCTGCAATACCTCATCAAACAAAAAGCGTGAGTGTTTACTGGAAATTGCATTCGACCCATTTTGATAAGGGAAAATGAGGGAAACTGATGTGCCCCAGCCTTGAATATGCAACAATACCGTGCTTATTTTTCATTATTTCCCACCCCTTTATGCCCCCCTTTTAGCCCCCCTCCCCCTTCCGTCGACCAGGAGAACCACGAACCCATCAGTAAAGCTGGTCAGAACGCCCGTCAACACAAGTCTAAAAGACTTTGTCTTCTTTGTCAGCATTTCCAACCAGTTGATCCGCAGACTTACAGAAATATGGCTCGACCCACTTGGCAAAACCCCCCTCTTAATCTTCGAAATTATCCCCTTCTTCCCTCTGAAAAAGTAATTATCCATCCCTGCGTCCTACATAGTATGATTAAAAAGAATCTCGTCTACTGTTTATATGAGTTTAAGATATTTTAGCCTTGTGACCCCCACTTTATCCAAATTGTACATCCACCAGTCATGCATGACCACAGTGGACAACATACACGGACATGTTCTATAACTTATAGAAGACAAGCTGAAGGCTATGCCAGTCATAGAAAACGGAAAGGTAGAAGAACGCATCAGACGTTATACAATGTTGAAGCAAGAGTGTTCGCGTGTTCTTTTAAATCAAGGTTAAAGTTGTACAAAATTGATGATCTTAGCCCGGTGGTTTGACACAGCAACAGCTACATTTGTCGTCAACAAGGAAAACATTTCAGTTTTTTTTTTAAAGCAAGTCTGTATTTTATTCAAAAAGATTGTGATACAGTCACTATTTGTTGTGGGAGCCGTGTGACAGGAATTACAGTCCAAGGAATGGAAGTACATATGACTGGTAAAAGCCTGGATTATCGTAGTTAATATATGGAAAGAGTGACACTTGTACAAAGTAATGGGAAACGGACTACAGTTCCTACCGGACTACTATTCCTGTCACACCAGTGGCTGTTCCTGGTTACCAATTGCGAGGACAGACTAAAATGCACAACTGGCATGACAACTGGCACAACTGGCATGACAACTGGCACAACTGGCATGATAATTGGCACAATTGGCATGACAACTGGCACAATTGGCATGACAACTGGCACAACTGGCATGAGAATCAACCACGAATAATCTGCACGATCCCAGATATATAGCTTAATAACTGCAATAGCATCGTATTTTTTTCTTATGACAAATCTAAAACACAACTCGTACACAACGTCTAAAAAGCATCTCAAATTTGCAATCACTTTCGATGGATTTCGGTGGTAACGTTCCAGATAGAAGCAAAACCTGGTACACTGTAAGCAAATGCTGGTTAAGTTTCACAAAACGGCTGAAGCACCAAGTTTGCTGTAAACTTGTAAATAAAAAAACTGGTCTACTCTACTTAGTTTGAAATAAATGTATACAAGTCCACTTAAATAAACTATAAGTCTGAAACATTAACCGTTTCTCTCTTGTCATAAAACTGGCGCAGTATCCCATTTAGTTGGACGACTGTCAATTTATGTTGTGTCAAAATAGACAAAAAATTAGTTTAAACGTTTAAATCAGTTTTCGGATTTCACATATAGCCCTTTCATGTAACACTTCTAACAGCGGCTGTGATAGCCAACACATAAACCGGAGCTCTACTAAGTGATATATTGGCAATCAAGTGAAAAGACATTCCATTTCCCCATTTACAGTGTAAAAGTTAAGAAGACATTAATGAACAGTTACCTCATGAAACAACAACGTTCACATTTCACGAGCGTAAAACTGGCAGATTATTATAATATACCAGCAGTGTCACTGAGGCTTAATCGCCTGTGATCATATACTTCAACAAATATTTTATGAATGAACAAAATATTAACAAAGCTACTTAAGCAAAGGTTATACAGCGTTAACCAGTTGTTGCCTCCTTGAAGTCTCCCGTGAGATTTCCTTTCAGACTAATAAATGCGAAGAGTATTGTTCAGATTACGATGAATTACAAGGTACTTCACTACCATAATACACACGCACTACATATCGCAGTCCTCTTAGCTGCTCGTGTTAAGAAATATTCTTATAGTTTTGATTCCACAACATTACCATTAGGACCAGAAGAGGACGAAGCACAAATGGAAGAGTTTGAGCTTCCGACACACTGTCCGTCCTTGCTCGAAGTTTCAACCGAGGGACGTTGCGATCCTTCAGTAGTGTCGGTCTTCTTATGGTAAGTGCCCATCTGCATGGCGGCCGCGGCTGATCTGTTAGAGGCGTGCAGGGTCCTTCTGTTAACGATGGTATTGGAGGATACCCCAGTCGGGGACATGCTCCGCTGGCGCTGACAGGAACGGTTCCTGAACACGAAGGATAACTCGGAACGAAACACAGTGCCGGAGATACAGTACAGAAAGAAGTTGATAGCAAAGTTCATGACATAGAAAATATGGGTGATCTTTTTGATGCCTGAATAGGTCCGAGACTGGGCCCTGTCGGGTGCCCCTTCGATGTATTGGTAGAAGTAAGTGACAATCCAGGTGACCACGTAAGGGATAGCAAGCACGACGTAGCACGTGGACGTGACCAGTAGCATCGCCGTGGTTTTGTCTATAAGAGATTGTTCATCGCTCGAGTCGTTTTTCTTTGAGGACATCTGCCGGCGCTTTCTCTTCACCACATCCAGGATGCGAATAGTGACAGTATTGAATACCACAACTATAACAATAGGGAGGATAATGGACATACCAATTTTGAATACGATAGAGCACACCAGGTACTCTTCTATCATAGCTGGCTTCACATTACATCTATACGAATTGGGGTTGCTTACCGATGGAATGTAGTCGAAGAGCACAAAGAAGTAGGCGTTAGACGCCAGGCTAAAAAGAAGCAATACCACTATCATCTGCTTAGCCCTCTTGGCGGTGCAAATAGACTGTCGTTTCAGCGGGAACGCCACGGACACAAACCGCTCAATGGTGAAGGTGACGATGATCCAGGCAGACATGCACCTACCAACGGCGCTGAGGTACCAAAGCGGCAACCAGAAGAAGCAGCTCTCGGTCCAACCCTGGGCCGTTACCAAGACCTCCAGCATGTCGCCTAGCAACACCACGGAGTCACAGACAGCCAGTCCCACCAGGTAGCACGAGGTGGACGTGTCGCGGAGACGAGAGGCCAAAAACGTCACCAAGGCCAGGATGTTACACACCATTCCCAAGGGAGCCATAACCAGGATGGAGTGATATTCCGCCAGGAAAGCCAGACACAAAAACTGCACATCCAGACTGCTTGGAGCGTCACAGCCCCCGGCACTGGACATAAACCGGACATTGGAATGGTTGGTGTAGGCGACGACGGTCTCGTTGCTCATGTCCACCGGTGGAGGTGTGGATTGCAGATGGGGAATGGTTTCAGGTTCAGGCTGCCAGCCAGCTGTCGTAGCCTTGTTTCCCATCACCCTGGGCGCCCCCGTTGTTTGGATATGTAGAATACTGTCAATGGTGATGAACAAGTCTTCGTCTTTTGCATTCATTTCAAAATGACCGCTGAACTCTGAAAAGCAAAAATGATGGTAGAATTAAACAAGAGACACGTTCACACTACATCATTTTGTAAATTATTATTATTATATGCTCGATAAATATCACAAAGAAATATCAGCACATACAACTGCATAGATTATTTTGGCACCAGTGTGATATCACAGCTCGATTTTGTACAGCGTGGTCGCGCTAGCTTGCTAAGGTTCACCGCGAACCTCATTCGCGTAATCTTTTTATCTCCCAAAAGTATATGTTCCTCTGGTATATTATTTGTTTGTTTGGTTATTTATTAATCAATTTATTTATTTATTTATTTAATAATTCATACCGGTTTAATTTTTTTAATTGATTAATTAATTAATTAATTTATTTATTTATCGATATTGGTTTTTTAATTTTTTATTTGTTTGTTTCGTTGGCTCTGCTTACTTCTGTTGGAATTTGCCTTTCGAGTTTTCCAATACAGCTAGCATTCTGGCTTCTCTACTGCAATGTACTTTAATGTACACTCTTCTCTGTAAATACTGTTAGTACTGAATACCCACTGTAAATTTATGTATGTGACTGACTGACAAGACTGACAAATCACCAAGAGACAGCAGATGCAATTCGAAACACTCTTAATTATTAAGATGGATTGAAAATTTTT